ATTATAAGGGAGATATATTGTAAAATAATGTTAACATCCAGGTACAAACATGTATAAACATGGTAAAAGTATGTTATTTAATAAATAATTTAATTCCATTTGTTTCCATTTAATACCATTTGTTTCCAAAATATACTACTTAAATTTTCTAAAAAGACAAAAGTGCCGTACTATTTTTTAATAGTTACCCTGTTCTTTTTTTCAAGCGGGAGTTTTATTTATTAATATATATAAGGTAGAAAAAAAGTACGGAGGATGAGAGCGTTGAAAACGCGAACCCGGAGTACTTTAATAAAGTAAATTTACATACTACTTATATTTACAACGATTTTAACATATTGTAAAGATTGAGGATGCGAGAGAAGCGAGTGTCCGAAATCGGCACAATATATATACTACTTCAACAATATCAAATAAAACTATAAAACGACCCACCCATCAAGGTGAACGGGCAAAAAAGGGCTATTGGAATGATTAATGAATCAACCGATATCCTTCTATTAAACCTCACCTTTTAATATAATTTAAATAAAATCAAACTATAAATCAATAAATACATACATAATTTAATATTATGGGTAATTAATTATACAATAACTATTATTAATTATATAATATATTAAATAATTATAATTAATTTTATGATATAATTTATAATAAATTAAATTATATTATGAAAACTATAATTAAAAATCAAACAAGTTTATCAAATCAAGCAGGTTTACTTTTTGAGAAAAAAGTCTTGTCACGAGAAACCATTTAAAAGAGATTTATGTCAAGTCCTTTGAAACTGGAAGAAACTTGTTACTGATGATCTCAATCTAGATCTATGATCAATGATCGAACAGAGAAGAAGTTTGCGGCTTCTATATTCAAGTTCTTGATAAAGGTGGAGAAGAAATTTGGGAAGAAACTGTCCGTCAAAATTTGTTAGACGGATTTTATGTACTTTTGTAATATTATACCATCACCTCTTGTTAGATTCATCCACGCAACTCATTTAGTAGTGATTGTTGGTGTAAAAGGTGAAGTAGGGAAAACGAATGCGGAGTGTTTGATAGCATCGAATGATGCATTGGTGACTATTGGAGAGATAAAGATACTATAGTTAAAAGGCATGCGAAATCCATTTTTAGGAAATTGCAAATGATCAGGGCAACAGAACAAGTCATCATGTGTTGTCTTCACAGACAGTGAGAGGCTGATTGGCGATGCAGCAAAGAACCAGATTGCTATGAATGTGAAGAATACATTCTTTGATGCAAAGAGACTGATTGGAAGACGCTTCAGTGATCCAACAATTCAAGAGGATATGAAGCACTGGTTGTTCACTGTGGTCAACAATGGCAATGACAAGCCATTGATTCAGGTGGAGTAAAAAGGAGAGACAAAAAAGTTCACACCAGAAGAGATCAGTTCGATGGTGCTGACGAAGATGAAGGAGACTGCAGAGGCGTTTGTTGGTGGGAAAGTCAACAACGCAGTCATCACATGTCCAGCCTATTTCAACGATTCACAGCGACAGGCAACAAAGGAAGCAGGCACAATTGCAAACATCAATGTGCTCAGAATCATCAATGAGCCAACAGCAGCAGCAATAACATATGGACTTAACAAGAAGACGGAGAGAGAAAAGAACGTCTTGATCTTTGATCTTGGTGGTGGAACATTTGATGTCTCACTTCTTGCTATTGACGATGGCGTCTTTGAAGTGAAGGCAACAAACGGCAACACACACCTTGATGGCGAAGACTCTGATAACAGAATGGTCAACCACTTCATTGCCAAATTCAAGAGAAAGTACAAGAAAGACATTCCAGGCAATGCACGAGCTGTCAGAAGACTCAGAACATCATGTGAAAGGGCAAAGCGTACACTGTCATCGGCAGCAACAACAAACATCGAAGTCGACCAGTTGTATGAAGGCATCGACTTCTACACATCACTCACAAGAGCACGTGGAGTCCCATAGTTGAAGTCACATTTGACATTGATACAAATGGGATTCTGAATGTCTCAACTGAAGACAAGACAACGGGAAAGAAGAACAAGATCACAATCACTAACGACAATGGAAAACTTTCAAAAGTACATACGACAAGGTGGTTGCAGACGCAGAAAAGTTTAAGGCAGAGGACGACAAGATGAAGGAGCGTATCGAGGGGAAGAATATATTTGAAAACTTCTGCTACTCGATGAAAAACGCACTCAACGAGCAAATTGCAGCAAAGCTCTCACCATACGACAAGGCGGCAATTGAAGCAATTATCAAGGAGACACTCGACTGGCTCGACAAGAACCAATCGGCATCAAAAGATGAATACACACAGAAACAGAAGAAGCTGAGGCTAATATCCAGCCCATCTTTACTAAAATGTATCAACAGAATGCAGCAGCTGGTAACATGCCCAGTGCACAACATTAGGGAACAAAGAAGAGCGACACAAAGGGATCAAAGATAGAAGAGGTCGACTTATGTGATTCACTTATCTTTGCAAAGTTATTCGAAGTGATTCAAAAAAAACAATTTAAATTTTAATTAGTTTTTTAACAATTAATTTATAACAAAAGTACTTGTTGTTTTGCGTTTGTCCATGATGAAATGTAATTTTGGAAATAATTATATTTTTGATAGTAAATTAATAATAAAAATATAACTCGTTATATAGTTTTTAAAACAAGGCTGACAAAATAGAAAAAATATCTTCATACACAGAAAGATGTAACTAACCTACAAATTACATATTTCCCCTATATTCCCATCCTTTCTCCCCATGTCCATTTTTCTTTATTTATTTGAATAAAATATATTATATATTTATGTATAATATACACAATAATATATTATTATGTATTATAATGGATTTTAATATAATATACAATATATATCTTGTAATTTGATAAAAACATGAATTTAATTGTTGTTCAAAAATACATTTTTTATTTGTTTATTAATAATAAAAAATACATAGAGTCAGTCGATAAACTTTGTCTGTTTTCCAAACGTTGTCTTTTTGACAAAAAAAATGATTTTTGTTTTAAAAAACGGGAATTAAATAAAAATGAAAAAAAACTGGGAAAAATATTGAAACAACAATTTTAGGGTTTTTCAAAAAAATTCCTGAAATATTCCATTTATAATGGTCTAAAAATCGGCAGACAACGTTAAGCAAATGACTCTATTTGGGTCATAATAATTATTTTGAAAATGATTCACAATTTAAAGTCGATAAATTGGTTAAAAATATTTTGTAATATCAAGATAAATAATTATCTTTTACCACAAATAAACAAATAGCTTTTAAATTATATAAACTGTTTTTCAAAAGTCGGTATTTGAATGTCCCGATTTTTGCATATATTTTGTTTATTATTTTTGGGAATTGTTTTTTGTAATAAATTCACTTATTTTTTCCAAGTAAAAAAAAGAAAAACAGTTTTCAAAAAATATTTTTTTACTTGAAAATTTTTTAAGCATTTAAAAAATCCATATAAAATTTGAAATAACGGGATTTTTGTTTCTAAAAAACATGTGAATGATCCCAAAAGTGCATTTTAGTACAAAAGCAAATAAACTTCATGTCAATCTTTTTCATTATCAAATATTTTAATAATTAATGAAATATTCACAAAACAAAAGCTTCGTTCGGAAATTAGTATGCTTAGTTGTGTTGTCACAATAACAATAAAAATAACAAAATGATTTGATAACTTATCTTTGTTGGGTTTTATAAAGTCGACATTCTCTTTGATCATTTAGTAAGAACATCATTTTTAAAATATCCAATAAAGAGTGGGGAGAAAGCCACACCATAATTCTTTTCGATTCTTTTTACTCAAAAGAACTTTCTTTTTTATTTATAAAATAAATTCAATAAAAACAGTGTTTTTGTGTGATTTCGGAATCGTGTTGATTCAAGTTTTGTATTTTTGATAAGTATTTACTACCTTTATGAAGTACTATAATATCGCATTTTTTCCTAACTAACAAATTTAAATTTACATCAATATATATTAAAAATTATGATAAAAATGTGATATAATCAAAACAAACTTTGGCATTTATCATCGAATTATATTTCAATTATCAATTACAGTTATCATATTTTTTATTAATCTGTATACTATTAGTATTAATACATCGATTATGAACAACAACAATTTAAATTTGAATTTTATTAAATTTATTTAGATTAACATATTATATAATATAACTATATTATTGCTTTGAAAAATATTCTAAACCAAACCCACCTTAAGAATTATTCAATTACTCTTTGAGAAATAATTTATCTTTTGATTTGAAGTACTCTGTTAAACTAATATTATGGGTTTTATTTTAACTATAATATATAATATAATTATTATACAAATATGATATATTAATATACTTATTATTTTTAAATACATTTTCCATGTTTCAATATTTTATATTTTTAACAAAAAGAATCGAAAAACCATTTAACCAAGTCGAATTACGTTTGTAGTTTTCGATATTAAACTACTTGGGAAACATCGCTATTCTCATACTCATCTTCGAACTCCGGTATGTCGTGTGCAGCTATCACTTTTTTCCTTCCAACAAATCGCTCTCTTTCAAAAGACACTAGTTCACCCAAAAAAGTCATCATCAGTTTTGACCTTTCTGGGAAGAACTTGACACGCAAGCAAGTCTCTCCGCCCTTGACGCACTGGGTGTTGAAGAACCCACACTTTCTAAACGCGTTGACAATGGTAACACCAGAAGTCGCTTTGTCCCAAGACGCGTAGATAGAGATTATTTGTTTGGACAAAGGACTTCTGGTGAATTCAACTAAATCAGCCTTTGTCAATCTACCTGCATATAGATCCCTAATGATGTCTTTTTTCTTGCCTTTGGCACTGTTGGCTTCTTCTAAGTTCAAAGTACCCAAAACTTGGTCCAATGATCTTAAATCAATCGGTTCGAGACTCAAGTCTTCGTCGACTTGAGGAAGTTGGATAAGTTTCTAATGTTTAGTTTATTATAATTAATGTTTAATAAATTTATAATTTAACACAAAACAAACTTTTTGAACTCCAAACACAGACACATCAAGTGGTTGGGTAATGTGTGAAGAGTGCGGGCACAATTTCAACACAGCCACGTGGTTGTCGGTGAACCACTTAGATGCTTCTTCACTGAAATGTGAACCAAGACCATCCATCACCACCACTGCCCACTCTTCCTTGTTCTTTGCTCTTCTTTTGTTTAGTTCTGGTAGAAGAACATTCTTCTGCCAATAAACAAAGATGTCTTGGTCATGAAAGCCTTTGGTTGGTAACAAATGGTAATTTGGTCAAAAGGGAGGTACTCTTCAATGTCAAAGTTAATTGTCTTTCTAGACACAATAAACAATGGTTTGAGCTTGGTGTTGTCACCCCAAATCCCACCAACCAAAGTCACTCTCCTCACACTTCGGTCAACCGGGAAGAACGTTTTAAGAGGCTGCGACTTGTCACAATAAGTATTCTTTTTCTTGGTGTCAACAAAAGGAATGAACCCACTCTCGTCAATGTTGATAATTAAACGTGGATCAACACCAACTAAACGTTGTTCATTGCGGCAGTATTGGTGTTCGTTGTTGAGTAAACGTTTTCCACGTTCAATGTATTCTCTCAACAACTCGGGATTAAGTAGAGCTCTTTCACTTTCCATTGGGGAAATCTTGATGGGTCGTATTTCCGTATTATGTCTGACCCAATCGAGGGACTGCTTTTTGCTCAACTCTGAAACACATTTCGAACCGACCAACTTACAAATTGCAGCAGAGTCCATTGGTCTTGTGGTGTTTTGTTTGTCAATGATTTCCTTGACAATTTTCTCCTTTGCATCTTCAGTAATTAATGGAGCTCTTCCTGTTGGTTTTTGGACTTCGGGCTTTTTAGCGAGTCCTTTACACGTTTCATAATTACGTCCAAGTACTTTTGATATTGATGCCATTGAAAATGTTGTATTGGCATCTTTAATGAAAATGACTTGTTCTCTTAAATCCTTTTTGTTTAATATTTCGGGTTCATTTTCTTTACAAAAAGTTATGATTTTATCATTTTTAATTGGATCAATAACTGTATAACACATTTTTTGGTTGGTTCTGATCTATGGTAAGGCCTTTTCATAATCAATGAATGTTGTTATTAGATTTGGGAAAAGCAAAATAAATGAAATATTGTTCAAAAATGCTTTATACATTTTATATTTTCAATTTGTTTGTGTTTCAGTTGTAATATTTTGGTTTTATAATTGGGTTGTTTATTTTGTAAAAAAACGGGAAAATTCAACAATTATCATTGAAAAAGTTGTTTATTTTATGTCAAAATTACATGGTTTCAAATTTTAATTGAATTTTTAAAAATCCTCAAATCGTTAAAATTGTTGTTTGTATCTTGAATGTTTGTAACTGAACTATAGTTCTTTTTAAAGTGTGTTTATTCAGCACAATATTTTTAAAGTTTTGCATATTAAATCGTGATTAAACATCGACAGGTGGTAAAAACAAATATGGTCTCAAAAGTACCAATTGTCGATTTACTTTATTTAATTCTGTGTAATAAAAACAAAGTGATATATCAATAACGATGTAATTATATGAACGTATCTAATGCTTAATTTTTAAATTTATTTAAATGTCGTGTATGTGAGATATGTATGTTCAAATACATATCCTTTGAAAAAGATATTTGCTTTTTTGGAGGATATCTCAGTTTTTTCGATTTGTTATTAACTATTAAATAGAATTTGTCTTGGATTAAACTTGAAACACAATAAAACTTAATACATCAAATTATTATAAATTAACTATATAAAATTATTATTTAAAACTTGTTTTTTTAATATAGTCTTTTTATTTTTTTTAAAAGAGTAAATAATTGCAATCAACATAAAGAAAATTAGTAAAACTTGAATCAACACGATTCCGAAATCACACAAAAACACCGTTTTTATTGAATTTATTTTATAAATAAAAAAGAAAGTTCTTTTGAGTAAAAAGAATCGAAAAGAATTATGGTGTGGCTTTCTCCCCTGGTGTGACTTTTTCCCCACTCTTTAACAAAACATTATTGTTTTTTCTTGTGTTGCCCTTTGACTTGTGTCTGTCAAAATTATCAAACATTTGCTGTAATTTATTTTTTTGTGTTTTTGGAACTCTTTATTTCATTATTTTTTATTCAGAATAGAAAACCACAGTTTGTTTTTAATTGAAATTAAATTTTAACGAGAGTAATATTGAGTTAAAACTCGACACGAACAACACCATCCAAATTCACTTAAACGTTCATTGTTGTGTTTTTATGTCAACAATGCTGTGTATATGTTGCGAAGTATCGAGTTGAGGTCAAATCAAATAACGGGATCGGGTTTTTTGGAAAAGGCTGGCTAATAATCCAACATTTTCCCGAATTTTTACGAAAATAATATAACTGTATTGGAATTTTTTTCAAAATAAAGTCGGTACTTTCAATTTTTTGTTTTTTTAGGAAAAAAACAATAATAAAAACGGGACTTTAGGAAGTTCTAAAAAATATGACAGTACCGACTTATGAAAAACAGTTTATATTTTACTTAAAAAAAATATAACCTTTTATTGGTTTAATAAGTTGAATAATAAGATGTTTAAAAAATCATTTTAAAAAATATGTTGTTGTTTTAAGTTAAATAAAACAACAAGAAGATAATTTTATTATAGTTTATTTTAATAAATTATTAATTAATTTTTTGTTGCTTCATTCGACTAAATATAAATAAATT